ACTGAGGCCGGCGCGGCGGCGCAGAGAGGAGCTGCTCTAGGGAGGAGCCCGGGAGGCGCAGCTGCCCGGCTGCCTCCCGGCCTGCGTCTGCTGGTGCGCAGGTAAAGCATTGCAAGCAGAGCACGTTTAGTGCCCTCCCTCTGCTTTGCTGTAATAGTCACTAGCCGCGCTGAAAAGCCCGAGCGTGCCCGGCTGAAGGTTGCTCGGATAACCGTAGCTTTTTTCATCTGTTGGCCTGTGCTCAGCAATGCTGCAAATAATCATGTACTTTGAGGATGTAGGTAGTGTTGATGATGTCACTACCAAAACATCTGTGGTTTAGTCAGGATGTAAGCCTTTATTTGCCGTATTTGAGTTACAGTGTGTGATATGTTGCTGCTTTTCTCAAAGAAACCAATGTTATCTTAAATCTGTACTTGAGGCATGTTCTTTTTAACACAGAAAAGGTTTCAAAATATTCTGGCATAATCTCTGTTAGGTAGAGTCTTAGTAACAGTGAAAATGTGTTGGCATGTATAGGCCAGCTGCCCTAGCTTTTCATCCCAGAGTATCAGCTAAGGATGACTGCGTGGCTCTGTGAAAATAGAAGTCTTTTGCTCCTGGTGACTATGTTGACGAAGATCTTGTTACTTGCCAGTTTTGCTCAGACTTATTAGTTCTTTGTGAACCTCAAGGAGTTACATGAGCATGTGACAAAATCGAGCTTTTGTTATTAAATACGCATCTGCTGAACTGTTGGCCAAGAGTCTAGGAGGTGCCGTTTAAAGAACGGAGGGAAAAAAGTCACAGGTGGTTAAATTCATCTTGTGATGTTTAGTGCTAGTGCAGAGAGACGTGCAATGACATGAGAGCCTCAGCCTTCATTTTCTTAAAAAGAAGGAAATTTACAGTTCTGGTGGTTGCAAAGACATCTTGGAAACATGAAGCCTAATGGCTCAAAAATCAGGAAGCTTCTTTGTCCATATGTGTTTATTTGCTTAAAACCTTATGTGGATTGCAGCATTAGGAAGCTAAGTCTCTAACATTTTATAGAGTGCTCAATCATTTATGAAATAGAGGGATTATAGCAATGAAGACTTGATGTAACATAAAAAGTTTAGCTGGATGGAATAATTTGTTTGATTTGCTTGTGCTTGAATGCTTAATGAATTAAAACTAGTGCTATTTTGGATCTTTTGAAAAGTATTACATTGTATTATTTTTTCCTAATATTAGTATTGCTAGTCCTGATCTGGTACCATCGGGGTACTTGTGAGGTGGAAAGAAAAAGTTATTTGCAGACAACGTGTTGTTGCTGTAAACTTCTGCTTTCTTTTTCTTCTATTAGTTTTGGTTCACTTTTCCGATTTGAGATCACTTGTGGAAAAACAATACTAAATTTACGGTAAAATAACACTTTGAGCACCACTGGGGCACAAACAAGCTTCGGACAAAAGTCCAAATCTGAACTGCATGTAGTAGGTTTTAGTGACCTATAATTTAAAAGAAACTTTTGTTTAAATTTGCTATGACTTGAGAGTATAACTGGTAATTTTCATGTCAGACCAGCTTTCCAAGCTAAAACTGATGCATAAAGAAAAGGATTGGCCATAACCTTAATTATGGGTCATCTCATGCTTCTTTTTAATATGCTAGGGGAACAATTCATCCTTCGTTGTGACGGGACGTGGCCCAGGCTGAGCGTGCACCAGCGGGGGCCTTCCTCGGAGGAGGGGCCGGGGGCGGCCGCGTC